CCAGCTGCTTGCGGTATACAAAAGTTCAACAGATATGCTGCTGCCTGTGGATGCCTTTTGCCACCACCAACTTTTGTGTTTGTAGATTCTCACTTGTTAAAAGATGCTCCATTTGCTTACCATGACTATGGAAAGTTGTTGCTGGTATTTTTCTAGATAGTCCTGGTACCCAAAGTTGATCCATATCCCCATATTGGAAATCAGAAGGGTTTAAATATCCTTTCCAAAAGTGATAAATTTTTGGTGTGCTCATGTTACTTATGAAATACCAAAATACAGATAAAGTGATCAATTTTTGGTATGCTCACATTACTTATGAAATACCAAAATACAGATAAAGTGATCAATTTTTGGTGTGCTCACATTACTTATGAAATACCAAAATACAGATCTGATTCACTCCATTCCACTTTGACTTTATGGTTGTCATGTGACCTGCTGGTTCGCATATTCAAAATCATATTTCATATAACGTACTCAATACACTATATAAAATACTTTTGTGTGTTATTAAAACTTTAATTTAGTGACATTTGTTATACTAATTGTGTAGTTCTTGCATCCTCACAATGCCTTATTTAGGTATACATGGTTTCATTACATATGGTGCAGCATGCCATTAACAAATTGAGATTTTTTTAGTCATATTCATTATAAATTAGTTTGTATACATTATTCCAAGTTAGAACAATTAAACAGAAATAAAAGGTAGGCTCCAATCTTATTTAACCAAGTGATTAATTTATAATAAACAAGGATAAGTATTATTGCTTTACATAAGGGTGAATGAAAAACTTGACAATCATACTTTATACAATTAGACTAGGAATTAAGTGTTTTAGGCTCAGTGTTATAACGAGTGTGATATTTCAGTTTCGGTCTTTCCCAGGAGTTGATGATGAAGACAACCGAGGAAACTCTGTTTCTACTCCACTGCTGTTTGTCTGTTGTCTACTGGTTCGTTGGTTTTTGTCCGAGCTGTGGATCAAAGAACTTTCACTCTGAGAAAACAATTTTATATTTAACGAGTACATTCTCTGGGTAGCTGCTCAAGTCTGCAATTATCATTATTTTTTAAATAGTAATTAAAATTTATGAGATTTCAAAGGTTAAGTTTGTATGATGTAATTGTGTATGTTCTCCTGTACTGCTAATTGATTAAAATAATATTGGTTTTAGTGTTTATTTAAGTTAATATCCACCCTTACTGTATAATGTAAATCATAAAATACAAATAAAATTAATGTGCTGACATAAACCACTTAAGTTGTTTAAAATTATTTTTACTGAGCAGGATTTAACTATTGTTACCCTGAATCCAAAAATATAATGAACTGACCAAGACACTATAAGAAAACAGACATCAAAAAAGCCCATTTTCATGGGATTTTATTGCTAAGTGTTTAAATGTCATCAACATATATATATAACATACCTGTTATTAAAAGAATCATGTAAATTAAAGAATGAACTTGTTTTTAAATTATCCTGTTTCTGACAAAAAAAATGTATCCCTGTTACAACAAATACTGCTGTCCTAAGTAAAGGCACTTAGTAAAAGGTAAAAAGAAGACATTAATAAATACATTATAAATTCACAATATTCAGCAAGTGAATTCAATATTTTAAAACTGATGTTCCCAAGAAAAATGCAACTATAGATAAAACTTCCTTTCTTTTTATACAGTATTAACTGACCTTTGGTTTTCCAAAATCTAACCCATCTACTTACATTTAAAACCACCTATAACAATCTGTGCTACAAATTTGTTTATGTTTCATTTCTTACCTGTTTAATTATTTATAACACAAATCAGTATTCACAGATAACTTATAACCTTGTAAAAAACTGAACATATTATCTATGTTTAGAGATAATATAGCTCTTTAGAGCAAACCTCAAAATGTAACACTCAAAGATAACATGATGATAAAACAAGCAAATCTTAAAATATGATTATGTGATGTGCTTATTTATAATCCATAAAAACAATGTTAAAACCTGAGAAACATGACCAATTTGAAAATGTTTTAAATTATGATATGTAATGGCAATAACTAACAAAGCAACCAAGAGCTAAAAATTAAATGACTTTACTATTTTTACTACTAAAGTTAATTGTCTGGATACTTTAGAGGTTGTGTCAAAACTTGAGATAATAATTATCATAACTATAACTTCTGTGAGCTTAACTTGTTCTATACTTCATCATCGTACTTTCCTTTAGTTAAAAGAAAGCATAACGTGTGTATTTCTTAAAGTTTGAAATATCTCATATCATTTCCACTCTTGAAACATATAAGAATCATAATGCTTGTAGCAAAACTATCCATGCAACTCCAGAATCACATCAAAATATTCATGCAACTCCAGAATCACATCAAACTATCCATGCAACTCCAGAATCACATCAAACTATTCATGCAACTCCAGAATCACATCAAACTATTCATGCAACTCCAGAATCACATCAAACTATCCATGCAACTCCAGAATCACATCAAACTATTCATGCAACCGCAGAATCACATCAAACTATCCATGCAACTCCAGAATCACATCAAACTATTCATGCAACTGTAGAATCACATCAAACTATCCATGCAGCTCCAGAATCACATCATGTTGTACCACTGTTAACTGTCCACAAAAACAGAAATCTGGGGAGATATTTGGTAATCTTACAACATATGAAGCTACTGGAATCAATATCTAATGCTAAATGGAATAAAATTTGTAGAGACCAACCAGAATAATGAGTTGGTTCTTATCTGTATTAAACTAAACAATGAGTTTGTTCTAACTTGTATTAAGATAAACAATTACTTGGTTCTTATCTGTATTAAACTAAACAATGAGTTTGTTCTAACTTTATTAAGCTAAACAATTACTTGGTTCTTATCTGTATTAAACTAAACAATGAGTTTGTTCTAACTTGTATTAAGCTAAACAATTACTTGGTTCTTATCTGTATTAAACTAAACAATGAGTTTATTCTAACTCGTATTAAGCTAAACAATGACTTGGTTCTTAAGGTTTCTGAAAAGCAGCTTTCATTGAGAGAACTATATGATAGCATGTATCTGATGCAGATCTGGGGATGATAAGTGCTAAGATTGAGGTATGTATCTGATTCTTTTTCAAAAGATAAATATAAAAGCCTGTATTAATGAAGTATAAGACAATTATTTTCAACATTTTTAAACTAATATATAATTTTTGGAAAGCTGAGAAGTTAACCACTAAACATGATGGCAGTGCACTCTTGGGAACTCTTCTGAAATCGGTCTTAAGTATTATACAATCTGAAAGGAACAAATCAAAGATTGAGTGTACAACCACTAAATGTAGATTGTGTCTTCAGAAATGTGTCAATTACAATTTACCTTTAAATTTTTTACAAGACTGTTTCAGTTCTCCAATTTTTGTTTTCTACATAATTGTACACCATGTGTGGAGAATACGAGAACAATCAGTAAAACCCAACCACATTTACAAGCCATAAGATAGACAGAAAGAGTAGCTTTGATCTTATCAAAATGTGTTTATTTGCACTTAGTGATGAAGTACAATAAAAACAATGGATAAATCATAATGATGCTAATCTAATACTTTGGATGTTTACAAATGCTTCAACTTCATTCTAAAGAAGGGAATATTTAAAAAAAAATTTTTTTACTTCTTTTTGAAAGGATCAGATTATATTTTGGGTTATTTTTATTTTATAAAATAAATATACAAGAGTTTTGTATCCATGGATTCATTTTAATTAGATAAATGGTGTATCTTTCACTGACTTAAAAAATTTGCATTCTCTCTTTTAAACTCCTAATCTTATTTTAAAGTTAAAATAAGAGGTTCAATAAAGTTTATGTCTTAGTTACTTATGACAGTGATTCAACACTGAAGAGAAAGAGTGTTGTCATTAGTAAAATTCAACTTTAACGTAAGTCCTATCAGAAAATGCTTTCAACCCAATTTTATTACTTTTATTAATTCACTTTATGAAAGCTTAAACAAATTTTTATTTCCATAGTCATAATTATATGTTTTTTTCTTACCAACAATTCTTAAAACCATCTGACAATTTTTCTTTTGATATTCCAACATCTAGATAATACAGCTCTTAAGTTGTTTAGTTTTCCATGAGCATCATGGACTCTAGGTTCCCAATTCTACTAAAACCAGTTATCAGTACACATCACCTGACTTACTTTTACTCATTTTTGCTACTCTCTTGCTCAGTTTAATACATTATGTGAGATTATAATACAACTGTTGAACTTTTAAAGGGCCTTCTACTGATATAAATCTGACAAAGATTTGTTTACTCTCCATGTGTGACAATCATAAATTCTCAAGAATACATTGAAAAAAAAAGTCATTTTATAAGTAGTAATAACACCAGGATGAATTTATGTTCAACAACAGGATACTTTTATTGGTCATGGAGAATGTACCCAAGTATAATATATAAACTGATTGAAGAGCAGGTTTTAACATTCTGAAGTGAGGATTAAACAGAATTTTAATACTTAGACTCTAATCCATAAGTGATGCATTTATCTCTAAAGTAAATTAAACTGAAATTACCCTTGACATTTGGAGGTAAGGGTTGATGGGTATACTATGACAACTTGGTGAACACTTTTCAAAGTGCAAGAGAAAGGATATGTAAGTAAGGAGGACAGAGAAACAAATTTGTTAAAATTGGTAATGAAACTTACAGAGAAATACAGCTGGAAGACAAAAGTAGGGCTTATTTAACACTTGAAGTTAAATCTAGGCAACAGCCACAGAAGTTGGATAGTGTGCTGAAAACTGCATTCATGTTTACTTGCACACACACACACACACACCCTTAACAAGTTAATAACCTTAGAATACAAATAAAACCTGTTTTCATACTTAAACCTCACACGTAAAATGATATGACACAAATTACTTAACATTCCCTGTTTCAATTAAATTAAAAAACTATAAAAAGATACAGTTAAGGAGCACCATTTCAATAGGAGACAGAGTTAACTGAAGCTCATGGATGTACTTGGGTTCTTTAAAGGTTAAAATATAAACATTACTATTTTAGCCGCATTTGTTCTGATTATTTTTTATATTATGTAATAATCATCCAAGTAGCTCAACTACAGTTTCATCTGTTTTTACTGTTCCCAAACTAAACAAATGACGTCTAGCACAGATGGCCTTTCTCCCTACCATAGTTAAATGGCATCTCTGCATCAAAATATGTTTGTTAATCTTTGTGTGGGAGTATGATAGGAAGACTCGTAAGGTAAATATTAAACAAACACTTTTAAGCATGATAGCTTTGACAAGTGGCTTGTGAAGAAGTGTGAGAAGTAGACTATTCAGGAGTGTAATAATAAGTAATCTACAGGTAATGGGAGATAACTAGTACAGGGGCATGGGAGTGTAAGAAGTAGAGTATTCAGGAGTGTAATAATAAGTAATCTACAGGTAATGGGAGATAACTAGTACAGGGGCATGGGAGTGTAAGAAGTAGAGTATTCAGGAGTGTAATAATAAGTAATCTACAGGTAATGGGAGATAACTAGTACAGGGGCATGGGAGTGTAAGAAGTAGAGTATTCAG